TTGGGGTCACAGCTCATATTTAACCTTTTGGGTTATGGGCAAACAAGCCAGCAGCATTTTCCCATATATATAATTTCTGATTTGCCACTTTTGTGACTTTTTTTTATTTCTTTCAGTAACTTCTTCTAGTTTGATTATATCTTCATTCCCCTTGCACTGATGCCCAGTATCATTCCACAGCCCCTGTTTACATGCAACAGTCTGTAAGATATAACAAGATAATCCAGATCTGCAGAGATGATGTTTCCTTATTTTATTCAGTGTTATCTGAGGAAGGCAAATTTTTTAAGTGCACATGGAAATTTTCAGGCAGAAAGGGTCACCTGAACTATTTCTGTGTATCAGAACATCTTGTTGATAATTGAGCAGTGCAAAGTATTGATCGTGTCTCATTCACAGTTTGGGGGTTTTGTTGTTGCTTTTTAAGGAAATGCTGCATTTATATGTAAAAATAAGTGTGTTATATTTGTCTAGTGACCATATTTAGGTATAGGAGGTGGTTAGAATGGCCTTAATAAATTATAGTAATATACAGAATCTAGTTTGGTAGAATATAGCTAATAAACCTTTCTTATTTCATATTGTTTATGTATTAACAGTGCACTTGGAGCTTTTAAAGATAAAATCCTGCCATAATATCTTTCTCCTCTGGGCTGGTAAATTGAGACATTGTGTTCAGAGACAGCTTTGAGTGGCTCTGCTGAAGGGTGAGGATGTTTGAAGCCTGTTCTGGGACTCACCCAGGCCTTTACATTTGCATTATTTGCCTTAAATCTCCCAGTTGTTCCTGCTTTTGAAGTCAGCTGGGGAAAGTTAAATACTGCCCTGTTTAATGCTGCTTCTACTTGAGAATTTTCAGATGTGAAAGAAAAGAAGTGAGTTTTCATGTCTTTAACTTTCCTGCACTTACAGACTTTTATGGTTCCTTGGCACTGGTCAGGAGGAAAGTAGATGGCAAGTGTGTTCCTGGAGAATTCTAATTATTGCTGTTTCAGGTGGAAGGGAGACTCTAAGTGGACACATGAGGTTTTTGGGGCGGGAGATTTGCTTAAAAAACATTTTTATGTCTTTTTTTGGGGGGGTGGAAGTGGGGAGTGACCACCTGGTGTTTTTTCTGCCTGCTTGTTTTTCAGACGTGGGGAATTAGTAGATGTTAAACATGAACGTGTCCTTTAAAAATTTTTTTGGATGATGTGAGCAGTGCTCTTTGTTTTCATTACTGCTTTTCCTCCCATAAAACCAGAGAAACAAGTGAGTGGAATGCCAGGGAACACTTCTATCCCTTTTCTGAGTTTTATTTCCATGGAGGGGAGTGCTGGTGAGCAGGGCATGGTTTGTACACGTGTGGTGAGGTCCCACCTTTAGGTCCAGCTTTAGTTGCCTTTTCCAGGGCTTGTCTCCTCCTTTAAGCTGGGCTGGCACAACACTGCAAGTGCTGCTGGACAGAGAAGGGCAGGTTTAGCTGAGTCCAGTGTAACTCCTCCCATTAATGCCTTTAGATCCATGAATTTCTGTCTTTAGACTCCTGGCTAATCTGGTTTGTAATCCACAGGTTGCAAACTGCTCTTCATTTTTAATCTACCAGAGCAAACAGGAGGCAGTTGAAGATGTTTTTGAGGCAATCCCCTGTCAAAGAACAGACCTGACTTGTTAAACAAAAACATTCTGAACTGCTACTACTGTTTGTTTTTAAAAAGCAAAGTATGGCTGGGTTTGGTTAAGTAAAGTAATGCATTGAAAAAAAATCTCAAAACATTGCCAGATGAAATTAGACCAAACACAGTTTATTTTGCTGATTTAAACTGCTCTAAATAAAAACCAAATTATCCTATGGCTTAGCCTGTTCAACCTTCATCCTGCGATCCTGGCACTGATAAATCAGTTTACAAGCTTCTGATGATTTTTTTCTGTAGAAACAATTAATCCATAATAGATTGATATTTGTAGACCTTGCTGTTAAATACAGCCACGTGTTTGTTAATTGTGAATAAATCTGGGTCAGCCTGGTGTGTTGTGAAAAAGGCAACAGAGGCTGCAGGTTCTGTGTCTGAATTTGCAGGTTATTTTGGGGCCCAAAGACAAGCTCTGGTTTTTGAGTTAACCTGAGCTTTGTGCCATGGTCAACACAGTATAAATCCATTTCTGTATTTATATATCACTTAAATCCATTTATGTATTTATATGTCACTTAAATCCTGAATAAATCTGAGTTTCTTCATGTGAAGGGATGTTACTCTACTCAACTTCTTTTGGTGGTTTTTCAACCACTTAAAATCAGATATAACAAATGTTGTTTGATGTTGTTGTTGTCACTGGAGAAAAAAAATATATTGCTAATTATGATTGAAAAGCACACTTGAAAATTCTTCTGAATCATAAAAGAAACTGCCTCAAAATACCTTTCCAAGCCTTAAAAAAAAAACAAAACAACCCCTTAGTCCGTGGCATTTATGGTTGTGCTGCTGTTTCTCAGCTGATGCTCCCCGGTGGAAGATGCAGAGGTAATTAAGCATTAAGAGAAGGAGCAGTTAGCAGGTATAATGTTGGGAGACTGGAGTTAATGTGGATGTGCCCATGACCTCCCAGACAGATCAAAGCCTAATCTGGGTGACAGCTACAGGATGGCAGAGCTTGCCAGGGGCCTGGTGCTGCAGCTCTTTGTCTGCCAATCCTGCCCCTCAGCCGCCAGTGTGTTTTTAAGGATGATCAGGTAAAAGTGAAAGGCTGTCTTTTGACATTTTAACTAATCCCTTCTAGGCTGTGGTTTCCTGCACAGCCAGGCTATTTGCTGGCAGGAGAGCCTGGCTTTTTCCCATATGTCCCATGTCATGTTGGATGTGATGGCTGGGCAGGCAGCAGTTATACAATGCACTGGGCTCCGATTGCATTAGGGTGACGTGCACTGGCCTTTTACCTTCTGCAGCCTCCCCATGCAAACCCAACTCCCAGCCATGGAACTTGGCATCTCCCCCTGGGACAGGATCATGGCAGTGAGCAAACCCCCTGGTTATTTGCTGTTAACCCTTCCTCCTGCAATTCAAAGGGGAAGGAGAAGTTTCCCACACACTCGTGTGGGGTTTTGTGCCACTTGAGAATGGTTGATGTGCAGAACAAGCAAGCAACACTTGCAGAATGCTGATGTGCATTAGAAGGATGGAAAAGTCATATATTTTATTGAGATTACCTGAGTGATGTGTATTAGAAGGATGGAAAAGTCATATGTTTTATTGAGATGACCTGACTGCTTTGCATTCTCCTCTTCCTTCATGCACGTAATTAAAAATACCATAATTTTTTCAGCTTAAGACACAGGACTAAAAATTCTTAACACTGTTTTGAACAGTCTTCTAGCAAAGGAAGAGACTGGTAAAGCTACATGTGTTCCATTTGTTCCATTTGTTCTTCCTGGTAACAGTTTCCTCTTCCGAAGAATTTCTGTTCTAAAACTTCCCAGGAGTAGAAGACAAAAAATTATATTGCTAATTATGATTGAAAAGTACACTTGAAAATTCTTTTGAATCATAACAGAAACTGCCTCAAAATACCTTTCCAGGCCTTAAAACAAACAAACAAACAAACCCAACCCTTAGTCTGTAACATTTATGGTTTTGCTGCTGTTTCTCAGCTGATGCTCCCCAGTGGGAGTATATTGTCACTGCTTATGTTTTAAAGCCTTGAGTGAATTTTCCCAATGGTGAAAGGTTCCCTTTGATTTCTCTGTAGTACTTCCATTTGTAGAAGTGCACAGATAACCCCAAATTCCTTTTCAAGGACTGGTTTTAATGTTCACAAACCGTTCAGAAGAAACCATATTCTGTTTGGAAAATTCCAAAGGAAGCCTCACATGCCAGTCAATAAATCCTGAGTGACTGGAACAAATATTCAATCTGTGAAATCAAACTGAATTTGCTTTCTGGCTGCAAAGATTGAATTTGTAAATTTGACAGGCAATTTAAAGGGCATAAGTACATAAAATAAAATTTCTTATCCAAATGCAAGTTGAAAGTTACCTGTCAGAAGAGGTTAGAAGTCTGCTGGTTTCTCTCCTGAAGCGTGTCCTTTCACTTGTCAGTTTAGAAAGGTTAATACTGTACAAAAGAGCAACAGAAAGACCCTTTTTGGTGTAGTTTTATGGGTTTGGGTTTTTTAAAAAAAAATTCAGCCTCCCTCTCTGAATAATAATAAAATAATAATACATCCTTCTGGTATTTGTTGGAACAGTGTATAATGTTCAAATTGTTCAAATTCAGAGCAGGCATCATTTGTGTTGTTATCCATGGGATTGGCAGGGGGATTTCTTTTGCAGTTGATTCCAGATCTGCTTTTGAAGCAGGAGGAATAGAGTGTTTTTAAAAAGGGGAGCATGTTCTTCCCTCCTCCCACTGCCCGTGCCCTGCCAGCCTTGGGTCACCCTGGGCCAGGGAAAAGTTCCCAAAGCCAGAGGGTGATGCCAAGCTGGGAATTAGGGTTGCTGTTGGTGACTTCTGGTACTTGGGAGAAGCCACTCTGTCCCTAAAGCTCTTTCTTAGCTTCTGTGGGAGAAGAAAAGTTGTATTTGCTTCATCCTCACTTGGGAAAAGCGTGGCCTGGTGCCAGCAACAGCTCGGGATTTGGGATCAAGGGAAGGGTCGGGATCTCTGGGGGGTCATTTCCTCTCAGCTGAGCCCCCCAAACTGGGCTCTGGACTCCATCTCCCTGTACCTGGGGAGGGTTTGCCTGTGGGAACAGCTTATCCTTCTCCTGCTGGAGCAGGGATTTAGGGAAATGTGTGGTGCTTGTGTCATCAGATTGAAATTATTGTTACAGATCATTTAAGAATCATTTTAGAAGGGTACAAACCATAATTGGTTAGGAGGCAAAAATATTGAGTTGAAATACTGAAACACACTTTATATATTCTCTTATTTAATCAATTTATTTAATTTGCTTGTTTGACCCTTTTGGAATATTTCATTTTCATCATGATTAATAAACCAAATATTTTACGACTTCTCTTTTAGGTTGAATTAAAGAGGAAGTACAATGACCAGCACAAAAGTACAAGAGGCCTTTTATCAGGGAGTCAGTGGTATGAAATTCAAGCTTATAGAGCTCTCAATCAAGCCCTGGGAAGGTGAGAGAAATGGAACAAAATTAAAAATATGTATTTGTAGAATTTTGTGAAATCTTTAAGGATTGATTCCTCCCTTTAATTAATTCCCTCACCTTGCAGAAATTCAACCTCCATCAGTGCTTGACAACTCTCTGGTTTTCAGCCTGTTGTGCATTTGAGTGTTGTTATAATTCAGAGGTTTTGTTTTACACTGAACCCTCTTCAGTTTGGTTGCAGGTTTTATTGCTTGTAGTGCAGAGAGACAGAAGGGAAAGCCTTAGCAGAGACAAATAGTTCTGAGCTTATAAACCAAATGAAAATTCTCAGGGCTTTTCCAAATGCACTAATTGTTCACACTCTCAGTGGGCTCAGAACAGTTGTTTGATATTCAGCCTACAAGTATTTTTGAAAGGGAGAAATAGCAGTGGGGATTTTCAGACCTTTGCAAAAGGTCAATTCAATTATTGTGCTCACTGATCTCTTTCCAGATTTAGAAGAAGTGGTACAGCTTCCATTCCTGATGCTGAAAAAAAATTCCCCCAAATTTTATTAACAGGGGAGAATTAATTCATCCTTCTCCAACGAAATTTATCACATAAATAAAGATTATCACTGTCATCCCTGTCTGTCACAGATGCCACGCATCTGTCAGGGGTATATAGAGGTAGAAACACAGATTTATAGATGAGAAACATCAGCTGGAAGATTCTTCTCATTTGAATCAGACCTAATGCAAATGTGATGACATAAATGAAGGCTCAGGAAGAAAACTGAGAGAAATAGGAACATTAGTAAAATATTGTAGATTCTTGTTGTTACAGGTCTGATTTCTTAGATTCCTCTTTGGAATGTAAGAGCATTGGTTAAAATTTGCCCAGAAAAATCTAAGGAGAAATTAAGCTGAATTTGTGTCACTGTGAAATGAACTTTAACTATAATCTAGATTTAGTGAAAATTGCTTATTGTTTAATTTTGCATTTGAATGAAATTCTGCTGGTTTAAACTTAAGTGGAGAAAATAGACCTCCATGCTGACAGGAATGTCTAAATTGTGTATAAAACCCTCAGACTGAGCTCTTGTAACCTGAGCTCTGGTGAAGGATGACAGTGTGTGAGGAGTACTTTGATAAAAGCAGAAAATTACACAAAGTTAAGATTAAGTTCTCCAGTAGACAAGAAAGCTTCTTCCTGCAGAGATGCCACCGGGATGGAAGTGAGCAGAACCAGTGGAAGAAATCTGTTTCTTAATGATTTGTTGTGGTAGCTTTTCCTGTCACTGAGAGATTCCAGGATAAATAATTCTTTCTTGGAGACCCACCCTGTCACTCCAGTTTGAAGCCCTGATTCTGAGACTCTTGTGCTTTTATGTACATTTGTAAATATCATCCTCAAAAAAAGGTACATGAACCTTCTTATACCCTGGGGACAGTAACCCTGAACTGTTCCTGGCAGATTCCTTGCCATATTTCATTTATGTTACTGCTGTTCTTTAATCCTTTTTTATTGGCAGACAGCACAGAAATCCAAATAACGTTAAAAATAATATCAACACATGAGAAGTGACTATTTCTATTTCTGTCAGTCTCTGACAACTGAATTAGGAACTCAACAGTGTTTGATCTGTAGCATAATTCATTTCCTTACTAAAGAGTTAAGAACAACCTGTGGTTTAGAGACCAAAAGTACGGAGTTATTTAAAAAACTACTTACAGTTTTATCAGTCTGTTTTTTTTTCTTTTACAGTTTTACATTTATTTTTTTTTCAGTATTTACACTGCCCAGTTAAGAATGTATGTGATTTTAATTCCATGTATCCCCTTCTGGTTGCCCCCTCTCAGGTGTATAAGGCACAGGAACGACTGGGGGGCTCTGATTTTGGTTGACGACCGGTTCAGGAATAACCCCAATAAATACATCACTGGTAAGCTGCAAAAATCCTCCTGGGGAAGTTCCCAGGGTTATCAGAGATAGTGAAAACTCAGAATGACAGAAATATGTCACACAAATACAGGTGAGGAGGAAAAGTCATAACAAAATACATCCACTGAACACAAACTGAACCACCTCGATATTCAAGTCTTTTCTGTTTGTACTTTTATCCTGGGTAGAAACAAAGGCAGATGAAATAAAACAGGTCACGAACACTCCCTCAACAAAGAGATAAAAATTAGAGAAGAATCTGCTCAGGACTGTGGTTTTTCTCTCTGTTCCTGCCCGTTTGGCTGAGATGGGCAGTGAGGTGTCCAGCCCGTGCTGGGTGTTGTCAGCAGGTGGAGCTCAGCTGCTGCAGTTGAGTCCAACTGCTCTGAAGGGTCTGTTTGTACTAAAAGGACGTTTAAATTATTTAAGTAAACGAAAGTAATTCATATAGTAACACAAATAATCAAAGCTTCATAAAATCCCTTTCTCTAAAATGTAAAACTTCACACAGGAATTGAATTCTCTGTTGTTATTTTTCCCTTTTCAACTGATAATCAAAGAATATTTAAATGATTTCAAAACCACTTTCTAAACTCAACGAAGTCAGTTTTTGCTTCACCCTTGTGTGTTCCTACATCATCTAAACAGCTTTTATGCTCTGGAAATCTGGTATTTGAGCATTTTAAATATTATTCTGATAGGAGCATGTATATTGTAGCTCTAGAAATGTGTTGTGTTCTCTTGTAGCTGTTGGGCAGTGATTCTGAATATCTGAGTTACTGCTACTTAATCTGAAGCAAAGCTGTGAAAAGCTTCATTATGTTCCAGTTTTTATCAGACCCTGTTAATATGGTAATAAATACCTGTACTTCTGTGGAAGTTGCTTTTAAATATTTAAAATGAACACTGAGGCATAAAAGAAATGTAGTGATGTTTATGCAGTGCAGTTTGAACCTGAAAAAAGACTGGTGAAAAAGATAAAGGAAAAGAAGGGTATAGTTAGTATTACTCATGAAAATAGTACCATGGATTAAATAAATTATTACGATTATTAAATGAATTCTTGTACTTTCATGAGCAGCTTCTTGGCATCTTTGTGAATCTGACTATACATAGAAATATTTGCAATATTAGGATGCTGTTTACTGATGGGAAATCCTGGGTGTGGATGATGTCATTTTGCAGTGACACCTCTTTTTCCCTTAGGGTTGTCCAAGTGGATTCGGCAGCAGATCCAGCACCACGGCAGCTTTGGCAGCGCCCTGGAATCCCTGCAGGCCTTCGCTGCCAGGAACAGAAGTGGTGCCTGTTCCTCCCAGAACAGCAGGGACTGTCTCCACATCCCTCCGGATTCCAAGGACCTGGCACAAGGCTCTCAACCAGAGGCAGCTGCTCACCTGTCACCAGACGTTCCTGCCAAAAACCAGGAGCAAAATTTGGCTTCCCAAGGGAATTTCTCAAATCGGCCAAGTAACGTCGTGGCAGCAGGGAAACAGAGTAGGAAAAACCTTCCTCAGCAATTTTGAGTGTGAAGTTGCATCTCTTTTGGAAGAAACAAATGGTTTTTAAACTTACAGAATGGTGGAAAATGTTTTTTAAAATTACTCTGGTGGAAAATGATAGTTATTCACAACTGTCTATGAGCTGTGCTCCAGGCTGAAATTGTTATTCCATCTGAAAACAATTGATGATGTTTGATAAGTTTATAGCACAATCAAAAATGTTTTCACTTGAATTTCTTTTTCCATTGAAAACGATGAAAATCATTTAGAATTTGAAAGGCCAAGATTAACATAATAGTAAGATGAGTGCCCTGGTTCAACCTACATCTGTTGTTTAGACATTGCTGTGAGACACCTTTCATGGGATCTCCTTCAGTACCACCTTTACATCTAAATATTTATCCATTCCTAAATTTTAGGGAAGCTTATGACTTCATTTCAGGCAAGAAAGATGTGAGTAAGATAAGAGTACAATAATAAAAGTTACAAATTTCCAATTCAATCATGCTCTATCTTTAAATACACCAGTTAATCTGTTGATTTAATTCAGGCAATTCATGTGCAAAGAGAGTTGGAATATCTGGGCTTTTCTTTGTATTGTTCTTAATGAGTGCTGTAAAATGACTGCAAACCTGATAAAACGGTGGTAATGTGCTAAACATGCTGTAAATGAGGGGGGAAAACCAAATACAATGAATTTATGTTTTGTGATTTTTCACAGGTGGCCAGAAAGTTGGTGTAGAGAGTCATTCTCACCACGTGAAACAAAGAAGAAAACGGATGGACTCCACACCCAAAGTGCCAACAACTAAACCAGGGACATTAAACACGAATGGTTGGACTAATGGTGACATTGTGAAGGAGAATTGCTGCTTTAAACCACTGACTTCAACACCTCTGCCTGTGGCCAAGAGCTGCAGGGCCCCAGCTAATGGCAGACAAGAGGGTGTGAATGGGCCCAGGGAACTTAGTGATAGTTTAAATCAATGCCAATCATCGTTAACTGCAGAACATAAACCAAGGGGACCAGAATCATGTTTGGGAACAACTCATTTTTCAATTAAAAATACCGAGGCTCCAGTTGCTGAAGAGCTCCAGCTTCCAGCTGAGCCCTGCAGAGAGTGTCCCACTGCAGGAGGGAAGGCTGAGCTCTCCACCCCCAATGTGTGTGCAGAGGAGGAGGAGGAGGATGAGAGCATTTACTTCAGCCCAGAGCTCTATGATGATGATGCAGACCCAGAGGAACAGGAAATCCAAGCCCTGCTCCCAGCCCCTCAGGCAGCCAGGAATCAGGTGGAAGGTGGAAACCCCCCAGTGGCTGAGGAACCTTTTGCCATGGACACCTCAGAAACACTGAATGTGACTGAGAAAGGCCAGGCTGGTGGCAGGAGCCCGAGTTGCAGAGTGATGCAGAGTGAGAGGAGTGAGGATAGTGCAGTTGAGGATGTGGAGGTGGCTGGGGCAGCAGGAGCAGAGCAGGGAGCAGCTCCAGGCATGGACAGCAGCAAACGGAGAGTCAGCCTGTCCAGAACACGAAATAAAGGTGTGTCCTCTCTTCCCTTGAGCAACAGCAGCCCCTGGGCACAGTGTCTGTGGGAATCCCAGTGAGCAGCTGTTCAAATGTTGCCTCACCCCAGAGCAGTGGTGGTTTTCTCCTGCTCATCTCACCTGAGCTGCTCCCAGACTTGGTTTCTTATTACACTTTTTTTGTTTGTCACTGTGAAACTTCTGGAACGTGCAGTTTTCTAGAGGTGCAATTAAGGTTCCTCATCCTGCCTGTGTGGTAAAGGACAACATGTCTGGAAATTCTAAATCCAAGCCCAAGTGGGATCTTACTTGTAATTATTGGCTGAGGAGGTTTGTCCACTACAGATTTAATTCACCATTAAATACCATAAAATAATAACGTTTTTCCTCAGAAAGCCAAACACCCATATCATCAAATTACAGTTTTCTGCATTTGTTAGGGCTTTCTTTTTTTTTTTTAAATTAAATGTATAGAACAGCATCTTTGCAGATCAGGTCATATGATAGATTGAGCCTGGACACCAAAATAGGTGTTTTCTTCAGTACTTTGTTTCCCTCAGATTCCTTATCTCAAAATGTCTGAACATTTTGATACTTGATGATGATGAGAGGCTTCTTCAGAGATCTGTATTTGTTTGATAGGAAAATTGCTATTTGTTTAAATTTTTCCTCTGTGAGATCTCGTTTCTTTTGATCAGGCTCTGGGTGTGTTCACATGAAAACACGTTCTCATTTGTATGCCCTACAAACACATTTTATATGCAATATAGAACACTGTAAATTTGTACATAAAGGTCTTTAAGTCTCCCTCAGTCTGGTTTTTTTTTTTTTGAAGTATTTTAAACTTTTCTTTCATTTATTGCAATCAAGGCAACCAGGATTTTTCTGTAATAAAACATATTGTGCCTCACTTTTCAAGGAAGGATTGTTCATTTCCATCACACATTAACATGAAGATGCAGGATTTTTGCAGTCTTAAGATTGGTTCATATTTTCTTTTTGTCTGAGAGCAGAAATTAAATTATTAACTGGTTGTTTTCCATAGAAGTTCATCTAAATAACATCCATCTCTCCAGAGCTATGAACTTCTCATATCAACAGGATTTAAATTGTATCCTTTGTTTACACAGTAAATGCATCTTTTTTTAATTAGATACTTGTTTGCAGGAATGGCAAGAACCCCGTTGGATTTCTTTAACCACATGATTTTGCAGTATAAGGCCTCTGGTTACATTTTTGCTGCATTGATGCCTCCTAAGGATCATGTTTTCCTGGCTTAGCTTTCCTGGGTTTCACTGAATCCTTGGATGCTGATGGGTTTGAAGTATTGAGAGGGCAGGAGCTCCAGCATTGGCAGCAATTCAACCATCTGACACATCTCCAGATAAATACACTTAATTTCGAGTTCAGTGCTGATTAAGTGGCTGGGCTGGAGCTGTCCCACATCCCCCACCAACTGCTGGGGCAGGTGGTTGCAGCCACACTCCAAGAGTTCATGGATTTGATCCTCAGGAGTCTTTAAAGCTCAGTTTTCTTAGACCAAATCTTCTGTCCCAAAGCACTTTTCACATTCGTGTGTGTCTAACTAGAGAACAGAAATCACTTAAGCTCTGGGCCTGTCTGCTCAGCCCAGGGCCCTTTGCCTCTTCTTTGTCTTCCAGAAGATTTGTCTGTCTTTAAATCCTTAACATTTAAAAAAAAAAAAAAAAGAAAATCCATCTCCCTTTCCTTATCTGGAGCAGATTGTTCCTTTCTTGATCTTGTGTTGCATCTTACTTTGATTAGAAATCCTTTAAGACAAGACCTGTTGTGTGTCAGATACTTCACAATAATTTATAAATACATTTTATAGCAAATTTCTCCTTAACTGTTATTTTTTAAAATATGAAATATCAGCATTTGTCCTACCAGATACTAAGTTTTCTTGACAAATTTCTATCCACAAAAAAACTCAAATCCTGGGACAACTGATGGAAAATAATCCATTATATTACTGCTGGGTTTGAGGGGTAATGGGTGGACTCTTTCTTTTGTCATAAAAACTGTAAATTCACTCCTAATTTGTCTTTATATCTAATAACTAGTGTGTTAGTGGTAAGAATGTCCTTTATAGTTAATATATTTATGGTGATTCCCAGAATTAAAGGCTGCCCAGCCTGCAAAGAGAAGGGAAGTCAATGTACTAACTTTCCTGGAATTATTTATTTGAACTGCTCAAATCTATAAAAAATGATTGAAAATTCCTCTCATACTCTGATATCATAGTGAGGTATAATCTCTGCTGCCTAAAATAATAATAATAAAATCTTGGATTTATTTAAGGCTTGAAAATTCAGAGGAAATGCAGGAGAAGAAAAGCTCCAGTTAGGAAAAGTGGCTCCAGCTGGGACAGAAAGGTACCCCAGAGATGGGATAAAGGACCTGCTCCAAGGGGCTGCTGTTCAATGTGAAGGTGCAGGGGAGATAAGAATGATTTATTATATAATATCTTCAGTGAAATAATACAGGTGAAGCAGTTTCTTCATGAGCTGCCTGGTTTCCTGTAGGTCTCTATTTACACACTCAATAGATACCTTTGTTTCTCCTGGGAAGCACAAGGGCACCTCTCATCCTATGCAAAATTCCAAACAAATTGATAGCCTGGAGCGTTACAGACTTATAAAACACCTCATATTTTGTGTGACAGTGTTTCTATTTAGTGAGGTGAAGCATTTTGAGCAGGGTGTGTATTTTAATTATTATCTAGTTTAAATGATAGATTCAAAGAGATTTCTTTGAGTATTTCAAGTAGTGTGTTTCTATGAAGCAGTTTTGACATATTTAATTGTATTTATATTGAAATGCTTCCATCTTGAGTGGTTACTGTACCCAAACTAGAATTTACATGCATTTGTGTATTTTTCCTTGTTAGAAGGAAACACAAAACCAGCCTTGCAAGAAAGGACTTTATTGCATTGTCTGTGGAGCTGAAATACTGCCCAAAGCAGAGGGTAAGATCCAGGGAACAGTCAAGTGTTTCAGGTTGGGACTTCTGATAGGATTTCTGATCCACCTTTTTACTTCCACAGTTTTGAATCCTGGAGGGATATTTTAGAATAACTGGATTTGGTAACTGGATAAATGCACATTAGAAATGCACTGAAGACCTGCAGAAAGTCTTTTTTTTTGGGGGGGGGAGAAAGAGGGAGTGGTCACAAGAACAACTATTTAAAGCAGGTACTTTTTCTGCCCGTTTTCTGTTGCCTGGTTCAGTGGTGCTGCCACACTGACCTGTCTGCAGTCACAGTGGGCATCTCTTTATTTAAGAGTAAACTGAAGGCAGCTCCTCCTGGCATTATGGGAGGCTGAAAGAGATGATTTGTAACAAAGTGGCCCATTCATTGGGGCTGTTCCTTCTCAGGATTAGGTGTTAATTTGCTACTAGTTGCTGTGAGAAGCTTGGTAATATCTTGGCATAGTAACTCTGGGAATCTGCTACATATTTTGGTGAAACCATCCAAAGTCTCACTGAAAAGCCATGTGATTACACTGGGTAACCTGCCTTGTGTTAATTCTGGTCTTCAGTCCTTGGTTGACATGAAATGGGGATTAGATGCCTTTGGAAATGGTGGTTTTGTGAGGCACTTTAATTTGGGAAGGTCTAAAGGCTGGTAATGGTAATAACAACTCTGTTACTTCAGGTTCCTGGGCCACGTGTGGTAATGACCTAATTACAACATGTTCTCCTGGGTTACATGCAGGAACAATTAGATGGAGATGCTTAATACACTTAAACAAGGCATAAAAGAGAATTTAGTGAGGATTTAACTGGGCTTGGGTTTTACAAATGTGAGGGTAAGAAGAAAATTTCCTTTTGTGTGCCTTGTCAGTACATCTCATGCCCTGGACAGAAAGCCAGAGAGCTGCATTTTTAGGAGGTGTTAGACATGATATTGAAGATGTGCATTGATGCCCTTGTGTGATCTCATCAGTAGACTTTCATTCATTTCCTTAATGTGAATTTATCAGCTTTGTCTTTGCAGTTTGGGGTGGAACCTGTGACACAGAATCACTGCTCTGAATCCCCGAGGTCCATGAATGCCCCCAGTTACCAGGGTGTCCCTTGTCAGGGAGAAGTTTTATGTTGTTTAAACTGAACCTCAGATGAATCTGAATCCTCAGTTGATTGAGGAAAGCTAAAAAAAAAATCTGAAAATGAAAAAATACTGGCTTTATTCAAAGTTGATTCAAACTCACCAGTCGATTTGGGAGTAATAACAAGGGGAAAATTATCTGTTGCAAAGTAAATTTTGGACACATTAAAAAATTTTAAAGAAGGCCTCCTTCCAAGGTCCATTTACAGCAATAGAAGTCTTTTCAGTGCCTGCAGTGGGTATTGGACCAGGGCCTAAATTCCCATCTTGTAAATGTGGAAAGTTTGCAGCGTGGTGGAACAGTGCTGTATTCAAAGCCATGTGTGCACAGAGCTCTTACACCCCACTTTTTAAATTACAGGAATTTTGAGAAAAGCTTGCTACAGTAATAGTGAAGTGCAGACAATCTGGAAACTCTTCAGAAATCCCAGTGTAAGAAGTAAAGGATCCATTAGGAGTTGTATGTGTAAGGTAGATGCCACTGCAGAAGATGATAATGTGATGTTGGTCATCTCAGATGCTGCAAGTCTGAGTTGTCTGAAGGAAACTTTGAAGGTTTATCAGATGCCAGTGAAAAGTGAAGGTAAATCTTTCTGATTCCTGATAAATACCAGCTAACATTTGTCAAGTCCTTCAGTACCTCTTTGAAGAGATATTTAGTTTAACAATAATTTGTTTGGTGGTTGAGTCTCCATTGTTCCTGAACTTCCACACCTTTCCTTTGTTCCTATTAAATTTCTGTGAGTTTGAAGGAAATCCAATCTCCAACAATTCTTTACTGGATGTGAATAAAATGCCTTTTCTCCTTCAAGGATATCCTTCCTTTTCACAGCTTTTTAAAAGGAACATTTTGCTTCTAAAACAAGTGATTTTTTTTTTCCTAAATGAAAATACCAAATCTCTCAAGATTCTGGTGTTTTTGAGTCCTTTTGCCAAGGATTGTGAATGTTTCTGAAACTCCAGGAAATACTTGAAATAAGCATAGAAGTGATCCTGCCATGCTGATAGATGGTAATGACAACTGTAACCCAGGTCTTTGATCTGAGATAAATGAGGATGATTGGTTTAAGCTTAGGAGAAGAAGTTTGGCTATTTTATGGGGTAAGGAAGCTGAGTCTTAATCTCCAAGGCACAATATTTGGCTAGAAAGCCAATAAACATGACAGAGAAACATGTGAGTCAGTGGGTTTTGTCAGGAGACTGGAAATACAGAAGTTGGAACTTCTGACAGTGGTACTTGGCCAAGAAAGTAAATTATATATCATTGTTTTCTCTGAACTGGGCCATTCACAACGCTGACACCTCTCCCCTTTGACTTTTGGGAAGATGATGGTGAGATTTTTCTCCCTTGAGAGGCTCAAAGCTCTGTGGACTCTGCACATTTAACCAAACACTGAAGATCAGCAGCAGTTTTCCCTCCCAAATTTCTGGGGTCCTTCTGCAGTGTTCTGGTGAAACAGAGGAGGATAATGGGAGCAGAATCCTTCACATTTCTCATAACCAGTTAAAGTGCCTGAATTGGGGTGTTTACCCCGTGGTTGGAGCAGAGCTCTGCAGAGGGGATGGGTTTGGTGGGAAATGAGATGTGGAACCCTTTGGTTCTCCAGGTGACAACAGGGAAGAACTTGCTTTAGTTCACATGTGGCCACTTCTGTTGCCATCCAGTGTTGTTTGGATGGCACAGTCAATAATATGTGATTTTGCCACAAGGGCTCCTTTCCAGGAGTTCCCAAATCCCCAGGGATTCCTGAGCATTCTTTGCCATCTCCTTCTCTGGCAAAACCAGAACGTGACATTTTGAAATGTGAACTGTGACTTTGATCTGTTTTAAAATCTCTCCTGATGCCCTCTGTAAAGCACTTTTTCTTTCTCTTTGAAAGACTTGCATGGCAGTTTATCTTTAAATGCTCTTTGGGATGAGAAGGAATGTTCTCTGACAAGTTACTTACAATGCAGGAGCTGTGTCACTCAGGCCAGTTCTCCATGTCCTTTGGTAGGAGCTGAGGTTACTCATTTCAGTAATAAAGTGCAGTCATGGGTAAGTCAAATCAGTTCATTTTGTATATTGAAATGATCACTGAAAGATTTGTGTAATAAATATTAAAATACCGTTTCTGTAAAAGGTAGAATGAACACTTTTTATCTGGACAAATTTGATGTGATTCACCTCGTTTCTACCACAGAGATTTAAGTGAAGAGCTGAGTTCAGGTCACTCAATGTATTTGTAATTGTCTCTAACTAATTTGGTTCAGTGTCTTATGAAAAGAGGCAGGAAAACAGCAGCCATCCATGAAAAGGAAAACCAGAACAAATCATACTTGCACAACTCTGTAGACTTGAATTTTCAGACATGTAGTTTTAAGTTATTTTTGGCACTAAAAAAAAGAAGTCAATCAGCTCCTGATGGATGAACGTGGACAAGGTCTCAAGAGTCAACAGGAAGAGATTTATTTATGCATATTGTATTTCCAGCAGTGTTAGCAAACTAAATTCTCAGTAGAACACTTGGAAATGTAGATGAGAAAACTCTATTTTTATTGTACTCTCAGAGCACAGGAGGTGAGGCTCCATCCTGAGGGAGCTGTGCAGGTGAGTCCAGGACACCTTTGCATTTCCCTTCATTTATATCTGCATATAAATAGAATTGAACTATTTGAGACTAAATCTTTGCCAAAAACTGACTGTGATCTTTATGTTTAGGTCTGTGTTATTATGAACTGTCCAAGCTCTTTGAAATGCAGTGTGATGGTGGCACAAAGGTTAAGAGCCATTATTTGCCACGAATTTTTGGCATTTCAAACGTTACCACTAAAATTTCATGGCGTTTTTAACGTTCATTTTGTATCAGAGATTCTGAAACGTTGCACTGAGGGAATTTATACTGGCAGAACATGAAATAAAGGGATCCCCTGAGGTATGATGAAAGCTGGGGGTTGAGGAAAGAAACTAATTTTTGTTTGTTTTCTTTTCTATTTTGTGTGTGGAAATACAGTTATTTATTTCTGAAGGCAGGATGAAGATGAATGATAGTAGCTTTAATTTTATCATCTCTTTGCTTTAAACCTGGTGTAACTGGGAATAAATTCATGTAATTGAGAATATATCCATGTAATTGAAGACACACAGAACGAGTCAAAGGAGTTAAAAATGCTGATTTATTGCATGCTATCATATCCCAGAGCAAACACATCTGCATTAAAGGGAAGGAGCTGTGATTCAGGCAGCCTTAGCTCCCAGTTCTACACTCCTGAACACAAGATCCAATGTATATGTGGAGATAAAATCAACATTCTGGTTTATGCTGCTGCCTCCCCTGTGTTAAACCACAGACACTGTCAGGAGGTATCGTGTGTCATCTCAAATTACTTCCTGTCATGTGCTGTCTGTAAATCAAGTGCAGTTGGTTCTGGAAGGCAAGGAATTGTTCATTTGATGGAAATCACACTGCTGCAGCAAAGCAAGCTTCAAAAAGAATCCCTGGGTTCTAATATCTCTTATTTCCTTTTGGCATCATTTAAAGAGGCAACACCACGTTCATGATTTAAATTTAAAGTGGGATTAACAAATTACATTCTGTATGTTTTTTAACCTGCTTTTCCTGTCAATTATTTATATTGAAAATCAGATTTTTAAATTGGCTGCTACATTTCTCCCCATCCAATTGCATCATGTGTTTCCCACTGACCTAGAAACCTCCATTAACTTATCCAGACTTTATGTGGCATCAGTGGCAGAGAAATTCATGGTACTTTTATATTCCTCAAAAGAATTTTATGTTCCTCTTTGCAGTTGTCTTTGTGAAATGGAATAGAAAACAGTACTTTGGAATTAGAGGGAATATTCTAGTATCCTACATGTAGGGGACTTGGGGTGCTTTAAGATGTAGCTCAGCTAATGGAATAAACTGTCTTTTATATCAGTGGCACATAAATTGATGTTATTTTTTATATTCCTTAAAATAATTTTGCATTCCTGTTTGCAGTTGTCTCTGTGAAATGCATTAGAAAACAGGACTTTGGAATTAGAGGAAATATTTTGCTGCCACAAACACAGGGGACTGAGGGTGCTTTACCTAATGGAATAAACTGTCTTTCATATCAGTGGCATATAAATTAATGCTATTTAGTATATTCCTTAAAACAACCTAAATAATTTTACACTCCCATTTGCAGTTGTCTTTGTGAAATGCAGTAAAAGATGGTACTTTGGAATTAGAGACAATATTTTGATGCCATAAATGCAGGGACTTGATGCTTGAAGATCCAGCTCAGCTGATGTAACAAACTGCCTCTTGTATGAGTGACATATAAATTAACATTATTTTATATATTCCTTACACTAATTTTATACCCCTGTTTGCAGTTGTCTCTGTGAAATGGAACAGGAGACAGTACTTTGGAATTAAAGAGAATATTTTGATGCCATAAATATGGGGGCTTCGGAGTGCTATAATAATGTAATGAACTGCTTTTATATCAGTGGCATACAATGTTATTTTTTATATTGCATAAGAAAAGGTAAATAATTTTATATTCCTGTTTGCAGTTGTCTCTGTGAAATGGAACAGGAGACAGTACTTTGGGATTAAAGAGAATATTTTGATGCCATAAACACAGGGGCTTCGGGGTACTTTAATAATGTAATGAACTGCTTTTATATCAGTGGCATACATGTTATTTTTTATATTGCATAAGATAAGGTAAATAATTTTATATTCCTGTTTGCAGTTGTCTCTGTGAACTGGCAGACACCACTTTGGAATTAGAGGAAATATTTTGCTGCCACAGCCGCGGGGGCCTGGGGGTGCTTTAGCTAATGGAATAAACTGCCTTTCATATGCTAAAAGGTGAACTGAAACCAACAATTAAAATTTTAAACTTATTAAGGAGTTGTTGCCGATTAGACAGTCAGCTGGTGAGACAGTCGCTTTTATATAACAGGATATTGTTTTGTTCATCATGTTGCCACATTTGGCAAACTTTTATCTTAATGCGCCTATGGGGAATTCCAGTCTGACCTCAATCTGGGTAAAGCCCCGGAGTGGCCGGAGCGGGGCGGGAGGTGCCAGGGCCCCGTCCCAGACTGTATATTTGTTATTCCATGGTAATCAGATTCATCATCATTCTGTTTAATAAAGATTTCAGCTGCCACGCGAATGCATAATCGGCTATGTCTGAGTGCCCGTCTTTTGTCTCGGCCAGATTGCTAAAACTGTATTAAGCATCATTAGGCAAAAATGACGACCTTATTAATTATGTGTTTTCCAGCAGATTGGAGCTCATTATTATGCAAACACAGTACACAGAGCAGGCACCAGAAGTAGCTCATTAATGTTTCTTTCCCTTAGATTATTATTGTGAAGTGTGCATGAAATAATTGCTAATTATGTGCCTTAAATTGTACAGTGATTGTCTGGCGAGATGTTTTTCATATGGTTTAAGAGCACTGTAGAAGGCCATCAGAAGCTACAGGTTAACGGTGCTGAAGCAAGGAAACCAGAGGAAGGGAGTCACAAAACCTGCATTTTATCACACATTTTCCTGCCTGGAAGGAGTAATTAGGACAGGTCTGGATTGCTTTGTAGTTACCTCTCACTACGCTGCTTATTGTAAAAGAAATGACTCCCAGCTGGCAAATAATTTAATAGATCTGTCTGCCCATGAATAGATAGAGGGGAGTTTGAACTGGGCACTTCTGGTAAAAAACCCAGGAGGTTGTGCAATGGTAAAGCTTGAGCTGGTGTGGATTCCTTATTTACACACCACCCAAATTTTGTGTGTGTCCAAACACTGCTCTCTCCCCCACGTTCCCCAGCTTTATTTCTCCCTCTGTACAGACTCTTTATTCACTATAATTCTCCTGAAAATTTAGGAGCACGATGGAAACGACATGTTAGGATTTGGCATCCGTCTGCAGTTTGACAACTTGGTGCTAAGTGTGTAATTGGTTTAAGCTGGTGGTGCCTCCTCCTGATCCGTGGCACGTCTCCTGTAATCTGTCTGCCACCGTAGCTGATAAGACTTGGCCACAGCCGAAGTTTTTGCGGCGCTCGAAATAAAATCCTGATCCATTAAGGGTTTGCGTGGATTTAGCTTCGTAATCTGGTTTAGAAATTGTGAGTGGTCAGATCTTGGACCCGAAGCTCTGTTGTCCAAAAGATGCCACGAAAAGCGTGGCATCAGCTCCAGTTTTCCTGAGGTTGCTTCTGTTGACAGTGGCTCTTGGTGAGGCAAAGTGTTTGTGACTGGCAATTATTTATTATATATGAGCGTGGAAACAGATACCTTGGAGGGTTAGGAGGATAATAACCTTCAGCTGACATTACTTACATTCAATAATTTGAGAGTCTGACTGCATTTGGTTGATGTTAAATAGTTGCTTGTGTCAGCTGATACCACCAGCTAAATGTGGAGGTGGCTTCGTACAATTCAAGTGGAAAGAAATGGAGCGTGCGAGCTATAAAACATTCCTTAAACATTTCATAGAGAATAGATCATTACTGAGCATTTCTGAAGGACAGACCTATATTACAGTCCCAAAAATCAAAATGGAATTGTTCTGCAGAGACCAAATTCTCTTTACTGCACTGTTCACTGCTGGGCACGGGGATGTCGACTTGATAAATCACTTGACTGATATAAATTGAAAATAGTTGGTGTGGCATTGCAGAAATAAGTATTTCCTTGGATTATTTGAAATGGCAGGGAATATATTGCTGTGAACAGGCACAGCTGCACTGTTTTTGCAGAGGTTCTGGGAACATGATGATTGTAATTTTTAATAAATGCTTTCTGAATTGTCAGTGATAATATTGCACACTGATGTGTGTGCTTGTAATAGAATCCCAGGGCATATAAACTCCCTTTTCTAACAGCACTCAAAGCATTGCAGCTAATTGTCAAATCAGGCTGCAAAGCACTTGTGTCCACAACAGTTTGACACTGAAATGTTCAATTTTTTTTGACAATTTTCCCTTACAATCCATGTTTCCTTGTCCCTATGAAATGACATTTTCTGCTCTGTATATTTAATTAATG